TAAATTGTAATAATATTTCACAATATTACTGTTTTTACTGTATGTCTGATTAAATAAATGCAGCCTTGGTGAGCATTAGAGACATTCAAAAACATTCAAAAATCTTACCGACCCCAAATTTCTGAATGGTAGGGTATATGCTAGCAAAGATTTTCTGCATATGTTGCCTAAAAGTGATGCCTGCTGTAAGTGGGGATGTATGTATTGTATGAAAATACATTGTATGATTAGTGTGTGTGTATGTGTTCTGATCAATCTCGCAGCCCCTGGTCTGGTGTCAAACCTCACAGCGTTTGCTGAGGATCACACTTCAGTGTTAGTGACATGGTTTCTCCCCGTACGCATTAATGGTCTCATCACTAAGTTTGCAGTAAAAGTCAAACATGCTCGAACGGGCCAGACCGTCCGTACGCTGGAGCTCAACGCAGAGGACATCATGAACGGAGCCCTGCCTCACTGCAACGTACGTTTGTACTTGCATTAATGAATATTTGAAGTGATACAGGACAGCTGAGCCAAATTCAAATCGCAGTGGTATATGCATCGATCTACCAATCTTTACAATTAGTTTCGGAGTGTTTATGTGCATGCATGTGTCTTCTAGGATGCAGCAGACATCTTATCTCGTGGAACTCCAAGCCCGTCTGAATCTTCCCAGTTGACCTCTGCTGTGTTGCCCACTGTTACGCTCTCAGCCGTACCTCCCGCCTTCATCTGGAGTGTTGCAATTAGTGTGAAGATTGATGAGCTCCGCCCCTACACTCCCTACGTGTTTGAAGTCTCCGCCTTCACCAGTGATGGGGAGGGACAGATTGCCAGCACTATGGTCCGCATGCCAGAGGCTGGTATGCTATCACACATACACACTCTTCATTCTCAAATACTGTATATCTACACTACTGTTCACTAGTTTATCAGTAAGACTTTACTGTATGTATAATGCATTATAAAGGTATTCATAGTGTATGTTGGCATTCATTATATCTTTTCATAAATAATTGGAACCCAAATTAAAGTGCATTATGCATCAGATTCTTTGTTATATCTGAAATGGGTTGTTTGTGATGTGTTTTAATGCATTATACTTTCTAAAGGTGTAAAAATAAATGGTTAAGTATTATAACTGTGGTTACAATTATTTATGAGATCATACAATGCATTATAAGGTGCATTAAGGCATAATTAATGCATTATATACTACTGTTATAATACTTTTTTTGATGCATTATGTTTAAAGGCTTCTAGTAAAGTGGTTTTTACTGATTTTTTTTTGGAAAGAAATTAATGCTTTTATTAAATGGATCAGAAGTTCTATAAAAATATATTAGAATTAGCATATATTAGCATATTATAAAGATTTCTAAAGGATCATGTGACACTAAAGATTGATTGGACTAATGGCTGCTAAACATTCAGCTTTGCATCACATAAATAAATTACATTTTAAAATGAATAAAAAAAACAAAGCAGATATTTTAAATTGTATACAATTGTATACAAATAATGTATGTAGAAAATCCTAATTCTATTCAAAAGACTATTTTACTTAAATTTCTCTGATGTGTTATTGCATGATTATTTAATACATGTTGCAAATGTGTTTTCATCATTTTATATAATAATATCTGGAATTATAGCAATAGGACACATATCTTATTTTAATAATCACAATTTTCACTGTAATACATGATCTCAAGTTTTAAAAAATAAATAATAATAATTATGTGTGTTGCAGCCCCTGAAGACCCACCACAAAGCGTAGTTTTCAGAAACATCACTTCTAAATCTCTGTCTCTATCTTGGGACCCTCCAAAGATCACCACAGGACGGTTCAGTTACGTCATCCAGCTCCACAGCTCTGAAGGTAACACTTGCTAACGCCCCTTGGCCATCAAACCAATACCTTTACGATTCATATTATCCGACAGACACCACACTGTGACAGGAGCTTTACATGACACCAACCAGTTAGTATATGAAGCTGTGTGGCCTTGCGTTTAGCACACATGCTCCTGACATGCTCTAGACTACTTAATGCAAAGCACATCCTTTAATAGTTGTTTACTAATGCGGTACATGTATGTGTGTATTTCAGGGTTTATTAGTGAGAACAGCACAATCGAACAGGCGTTTATGTACACTGGACTGACTCCATACACACAATACTACATCCATGTGATGGCCAAATCAGCAGGGGCCACAGGACCGGCAGCAGTGATC